GCGTGTCCTTGCGTGTTTGCCGAAACTTCAAACCCGCACTTGGCAATGCTCCCTCAAACTGTGAAATTAATTTGGCGTATTTCTGGTCGATGCCAGTGGTAGTTTGGAGGTGCTTTAACAATAAAATTCACACTCTGGGCGTTATTCTCTCGTCCTGCCTTTATCATCATCATTTTCACTGCTACCACCATCATCATCATCATCATCACCAACACAATGAACACCTACACCTGTTCCACAGGTGAAAGAAAAGTGGAACAACATGAATCTCTCCGGTAAATGAATAACAAACTCTCATAATGTAGAAATCTCATACATATTTTTCATTATGGTAAAGAACTTTCCATCAGACACAGTGAAGGTTTTATTTATTTTTCCTGGTGTCGGTAGCTGCACATGCTGCTCCTCGGTGCAGCCAGCTACACAGCGCCGTTCTTTTAAATGGCGCTGAGGGTGCGCCTGACATTTCTGCAGAACGGACCTCAGTGAGCATCTCACTGGGAACTCCGAGCGAACACCAGACTTGTGTGCAAACATGAAAAATCCTCAAAGGCCTGCACACAGTCACTCCCGTTACACTTCCAGTACGCTGCTGCATTTGTGGACATTGTTTAGCTGCGCTGATTGGACCCAGAGGCCGCAACTTGTGCAGAAGTTGAATATTGTCGATCCGGTTTTGCTTCAAAAAACAAAAACAAAGACTTATTTTTGTGGGTCATGGAGCAAGTTTAAGTAAAGGTGAAGAAAAGAAATAATAATAAAAGTATTTTATTGTTGTCTTTACATCCATCCTCCACCCACTCATAATTTAGAGGGGATCTCCACATCTCCCCTTTTTGCTTCTTTGTGTTTTGCCACCAAAACTTGCAAATGAACCCCATAATACTGAACATTTTATTTTCCGTTCAAGCCGACCTAACAGTATATTATAAGTTCATGAACAAATGATCTCTTGGCACAAGGTTCCGTCACTTTCGCTACCAGTTCCTGGGTTTCTGTACCTTTTCATGTCAAGAACAGCCGGCGCAGACATGCGCTGCCGCCCCTGGATCCCCGCTTGATAAGATCCTGTCACAGGGAACCACATCTGACATTTTCTGTGGCCTTGTGGGATATCCGCAACACCAAATTTGTACATCTCGTACCTGTGCAACTGCAACCCAATCATGACCCACAAGAGAAATTAAATTATTTCTCTGATTTCCGAGGACCCTTATTATCTCCCTCAGTGACCCACGAGCGTCCCGGGGCTTCAGTTTGGGAACCGGTTTACATGTCCAGCTGATCATTTTGTTGAATCACATTACAGTGAAATGACAGGACTTTTCAAGTTGCTGAGGGCGCGCCTCGCCCCCCTTCGGTGACCCCCGTAGGTCCCTGGACCCGCTCCGGGACTCCCCTGCACTAATGAACAGCGATAACATGTAGAACCGGTGGCCGCCAAAAGACAGCAGCGTGCAGGCTGTTGTCAGAGCTGGCTACGCACACAGAAATCGGTCAACCTTGAGAGAGTACAAGTCTTCACCGAGGGTCTCAGCAGCAGAAGAAAAACGTGAATGAATATCCGGCTGTGGCAGCGAGATGGCGCTGTTCTGCACGTTTAACCTCGGCCGTGCTCTGGTGCTCCCACCGCCCAGTGTCACGTCTACCTGGGTTTCTGCCTTTCTTTCTGAAAAAATGTTCCAATCAGAGAATGTTAAACAACATTAGACACATTCAGTGGCAGGGCGGCGCTGCTGGGAGACACCGAGCCGGCGGTTTCACACACGTTACTGACAATCCTAATTAAAATTAAACGAAATATATTTTGGAGAATACGACCCATTATATGACTCATTTAATCTTGAATTTAAAAAGAAACTAAAGAGGCGTTTTAATAGAAAAAAATCACAGATAAACGAACAATAACACAAAACACTGTGAACATAAAGTTTGTACAGTGTGTGTGCCGAGGAGACTCCAGAGCTGGAGCTGCTTCCTGCAGGTTTAAACCAGATGTTCTCGTTAAATATTGTGATAACAGTGTGATTAGTCACACGAGGCTGTGTCTCAGGTATCGAATCTTTATTACAATTCAAATAGATGTGTTTTTAAGGCACATCGAGCTGACAAAGAAAAGAGCAACATAGAAATACTGACCTTTTTCTTCATTGAGTGTTTCCGTGTTTTTACAGCCTTTTCGCTTCATGCAATTCAAAATACGATGTTCTCTTTTAATTTATTAATTCGTTTGTGTTTTTTTGTTTTTTTTTTTAAGAAAACTGCTAGAGCCTGGCTTTAATGTGTGACCCTGCTCTGTCTGTTGGAGGACATCATGCCATCGGCCTGTTAACGACGGATATTCGCCAATAAAACCACATCAAATCATTATGATGTTATCAATAATTCCTAATGCTGACACGAACCGCTATTATGCAATAATAAAAAAATCACGGCTTAATGAAAATAAAATAAGGTATTTCAGATAGATTTTGTGTTTTAAATTCATTTCTATTGAGGCTTCGTTTCTCTGTAGACTTTAAAACTTGCAATGCAATTTATATAATCGGAGTTTGTTTTTATTCCAGCAGAATATTATATATGTTCATTTTACTGTAGCAACATTTATTGTATATTGAGGCTTTCAATCCCTTTAAACTGGTTTAATTAAATGTTGTGATACTGATTTTTTCAGGTGAAAGAAACTGAAACAAACATGTTTTTCACTTTCTATAAAAACCGATTTATTAATGACTAAACATTTCAATAATTAGGATTTTATAACTACTGAAGGTATTATTTTAATATTGACTATTTGCTGCTCAAATTTTTAGTGTACTTGAAATATTTTTTTATTCCATGTACTTTAAAAAAAAAGAGTTAAAGCTAAAATGACAAAATCACAGGTAAAATTCTTACCTTTACAACCTATTTCTGAACATAAGCTCAGTACAGGAGGTGAGTGGCATGAAGGACTGAACTGGAGCCGTTTCATGTTTCTCACATGTTGTGGACTCAGTGATCAGGCTCCCTGAAGCCTTGGCCAGTCCTCTGAACTTTACAACTATATGTAAACAAGTTGTCAGTTCGGGAATAATCTTCTTTACTTTTTATTGGAAGGAAAATTAAACCTCCCAAGCTCAGATTAGGCAGACGAGTTTCTCTCTCTCTTCTTCTTCTTCTTCTTCTTTTTTCGTTCCTTGTCATTGGTGGGGCTGGACTTTGGTGGACAATAATGCGGCAATTGTTGATGCTTTGTGACCCATAAAATTTGAGGGTGGCTATTCTGGCTTTGGTATGTAATTATGCAAAACACTTTGCATAAAGACTTGCCATCCGATCTAATGATAGAGCCTGTAGTCTAATTTCCAGAGAGGGAGGCACCAGCAAACCCTGCACTCGGAGTGACGGTGGAAAAGCTGCCACAATAAAACCGAGGCAAACTGCACATGAGAATTCATGCGATTGTTCAGGTAATTTTGTTGTGGTGTGGACCTTTGTAATTTTGCAAAATGAGAGAGTGAAATTACATCAATTTAACTGCTCCTTTAAATACACACCATGTTTTTTGACAATATTTATTCAGTTTTACATTTGAAAGACGTTCAAGATTTTGTGCAACAAATATGAAAAAAGGGGGAGGGGGGGGGGGGGGGAAATGCAGCATAAGTTACTGCAACATTTGGGTTATTTTGTCAGAATTTACAGGATGTTTATTAAAAGACTGCAGACTACACATGTTGGAGGTGTACACTATATGGGATATTCTGTGTATGCACATAATAAACACTTGTGGTGCCTGACAGAGGTGTGAATCTGAGAGCTTTTCTACCAAATGAAGTGCCAGCAGAGAGAGAAATAAAGAGATCTGCAGCTGTCAAGGGTCAGTCAGCAGAGATTGCTTCTAGAGATCTTTGGGGGGGAAAAATCACACGTTTGAAGGCTTAGTGCTTTGCTGTCTTCGCATTTCAAGCTCAGATCAGTGGAATCAGAAAAAAAAAGAGAGAACATGGGTTGGAGAATTCTGATGTTGGAATGGACGCGTGCTTTTTGGAAGGCAGGAGACCAGTCTTTTACCTGATCTTTTAGAGGAAGGGGGAGAGCCCAAGGTTTTTTTGTTTTGTTCTTACATTAAAACATGTATCACACAATTAAAGCAACGTTGTCTCTAATGTCTCTCTGTGTGAGGAAATTTAATGTACAAAATCTGCCTTACACTCGCCTCTAATTTGCTGTGTGTCTGCAGAAAGGAGGACTGAAGTGTTTCATGACTGGTTCAGTGAAAATGTGAAAACATTTTTTTTCAACGTAGAACACATATGAATTATTTTGGCACTGATTGGGTACAAGAAAACTGACATAAGGAGTTACACTGGGAGTGTTTTATTTGTATTATGTAAGAATATAACACCATTTTGTACAATTACTTTGCTGTGGTTTTAAGCAATATTCTTTTCTGATGCTTAAAAATGGAGATGAAATGGTGGTGGTGGTGGTGGGGGGGATTGGTTAA